GTTTAAACTCTCTCCTTTTCCAGTTCGAGGATCGTGTTTCAGAAAAAGACATCTACCTCACAGGGGACAAGTTGGATCGCAGAAAGCAAACGGTATCATATATAGTATAGTGGAAGAAAAAAATTACAATCTGAGTCCCTTGTGAGGGTTCGAACTTCAAGCAGTCAGCCCAAAGAAGGCGATCCCAGCTGGCTGGAGAGATTCTTGCACTCCATTTAGTGCTTGTTTATATTCGCGTCCCGAGGAGAGGTGCAGTGCAGATTGCCCATACTTCGGTCTCACCCTCTGGTACCTCGGCATAAACTCAAATCGTTTTTGTTTTTATGTTTTTAATATTTGCTTTCTTTTATTTTTGATGCGAGCAATGAGCCGTTAAATAGGTCTCAAAACCAGAGGCCAGACCCATTTCGGTTGTCGGCTGTAACCACCAGAGGACTGTGTCTGTATTCAAGCGGGGATTGTATTTTCTTTTTTCTCCGGCACCCTTGACATTCTAAGTCAAAGGAATACATTAATAATCTATAGCCGGGTTGAAGAATATATCTTTCTTAACTGAAAAATAGTAAAAAAATGTGGCATTTGCAAAACTCAAGAAGGCGACTGAAGCTCTCGGAGCTTAAATTGAGAGGGACGACAAGAATTGACTGTCTATGTTGTGTCAGACCAAACTCGATTATCTGCCAGAAAAATATAATTATGCAGTAACTCAGTTTTGCTGCCAGATACTCCGCATGCTGAAGTAAATAAATCTGATGCAAAAAAAAAAGAAAACGAAACAGCTGGGTCAACGATCATAAAGATACTCTATACCTGCTAGGCAGAACAGGAAGAAGTTTGGGTCGACCTCAGTTCGTGAGGATTCAAACCTCACTTTATTCAACATCGCTGCAAAATGCTCTAACAACAGAATAGACAGACAAACGTCTGGGTTAACTCAAGTGAGGATTCAAACCTCAGACTTTGCAATATTGGTATCAATTGTTCTAACAGCTCTGCTGAGAAAAAATGCGGGTCGATCTTTGTAAGAAGCTACACGTTAAACGTGTGAAATGAAATGTTATGGTCGACTTCCATGAGGATTCAAACCTTAGATCTACTGATTTTGCCGTCAGATACTCTGAAGTAAATAAATCTGATGCAAAAAAAACATCAACAACACAAACAGCTGGGTCAACGATCATAAAGTTTCTAACTTTAGAACTTTAAAACTTCGCCATCTGCTCTAATTTCTTGGCAGAACAGAATGACATTTGGGTCGACCTCAGTCCGTGAGGATTCAAACCTTTTTTACAATTCAACATTGCTACAAAATGTTTTAACTGTAGAGTCAAGAAAGACAAACTTCTGGGTTAACTTACGAGAGGATTCAATCTACAGACTTTGCAATATCGATATCAAATGCTCAAGCAGCTGAGCTGAGAACAAAATGTGGTTTGACCTTTGTAAGAACTTACATGTAAAGCGTATGAAATGAGATTTTCTGGTCGACTCTCTTGAGGATTCAAACCTCAGATCAACCGATTTCACTGTCAGCTACTCTACCTGCTGATTACGCAAAAGTCGTGCAGTTATTAGTTCTATCACACATTAAGCATTGTATTTTGTTTGCTTCTTGGGTGTGTGATCAACAGGTTATTCAGATACACTCATTGTTTTGATGAAATTGAACGCCTGATAACTGATTTAAGTCAGAGATCTAGTGGACCAAGCCAAAGGGTTTTACATAGAATTAGAGCTCCTTAGCTGCACAGGTAAGGATTAACTTAGAGATATCGAAATTTCGTGAAGTATGATAGAGCTGTTCAAGTAATTAAATACGTTATCTTTAAGTAAAGATAACAAATGTTACTAGGACTTTGAATTTAAACTGGTGGTGAACTGCAAGTATACTTCAGCGACGATCATGAAATGTATATTTCTGCAAGAAAAGAAAGGTCAGAACCATTGTAAGCCTCATATTTAACAAAAAACAGTTTTATGTAATTATTCTTCCCTGTTAATGACATTATTCGAAGAAAAATTTCTGTAAGAAGATAACCTTATATACTACTAAAAAAAAAGAAAATATATGCAGCTTTGTATTAGACATATTTCCCCTCTCTTCCGAATTGAAAAGGTAATTTACTTAATTGGCATGACTAGAGAGGAGCCACAAGAACTAATTGTCTATGTTATGTCGGTTGAAAATCAATGATCTCTAAGCTAGTTGTTAGTGTCTTCATACAGTGTATCAATTTATAGGGAATGAGATGAAAAGTTATTTTCTACAGTGTTACGTGTTTATCAACAGTAGTTGATAAAGCAATATATATAGTTGATATAGCAATAGTTTATTTAACAGGTTAAAACTTACTGTGATAGGGAATCAAGTGTTTCTTAAAAAAGATGCAGTTCAAAAGTTGCGGTGTCAATGCATCATGTGTTTGTCAACAAGAAAGCAGTTTAAAAGTTGTGGTGTCAATGCATCATGTTTTTATCAACATGGTAGCAGTTAAAAAGTTGCAGTGTCAGTGCATCATGTGTTTGTCAACAAGAAAGCAGTTTAAAAGTTGCGGTGTCTATTTATTACGTTGTTATCAACAAAGAAGCGGTGTAATCGTTGTAGTGTCTATGTATGATCTGATCATCAAGAAGGAAGCAGTCTTTAAATCTTCATTGTCTTAATATGTATCAAATGATCGTCAAAGAGTAAAATGATAAGTAATGAAATATTTAAGTTTGCCTAGAAAAATAAAGGAGAAATGAATCAATATTTAACTTATAAATAAACAAATAAAAAAAACTAATGAAAGCAAATCAAACATAAACACAAAAACATACAATACTCAACCATGGCCCAATCCTTAATACTTCCCATTTGCGCCTGCCTTTTATAGATTGACTTTTATTGACTTTATTTTGGGCTTTCAAGTCTTCATGATGATTTAAGCAATAGATGCTTTACCGGGATATAACATATTTCTCATTGGTTTTGTTATCGGCCTACAAACCATCGCCGCAACAATGCTTCCGAACTCTGATTTCAGACTTTAGATCTCAGACATTCTAGTTTTATTTCCACTTTGATTTCCCGTCCTTCGTCTTCCGACATCTATCTTCGATTTCCGAATTAAGACTTCTAATTCCGACTTCAGACTTCGCAATCGTATTTCGGACATTTTATTTAACAATTCGGAGTTTACTTCTCAACTTCCGGCTGTGGACTTCTAATCTCCGCCATCAGACTTCGGATTTTTAACCTTCAATTTCGCAGTTCGGAGTTTTTATTCGGACCATCCACTTTTAATTTCCCAACGTCCGGCTTCGGAACTTCAGACTTCGGGTTTCTGACATTCTATGTTGTCGTCACAGCTCGGAGTCTTATTTTCGACTATATTCCGACTCAAGATTTCGGATTTCGCACATTCAATTCCGGTCACTAACGTATAATTTTCTGACTTCCGGCTTTGCACCTTCTTATTTACGACTTACGACTTCAAAGCACTCACTTCTATGTCTAATCTATGACCGCGAACTTTCGAAATCCGTCTTCCAATGTAAACCTTCGATCTCCTTTTTTTCCGATTTCGACTCTTAACGATAACGACTCATATGCTAACTTGAAAGGTCCAACGTTCTTCTCGAGTCAGGAATGTAAAATCAGAATATAAGGGTATTTTAGTCATTTAAAAAACAGAGGTGCAACAATAACCTAGAAAAGAGGGAAAATACCTTTCAAGGTCACAAGTTTACTAAGATTCTGCCCCTTTAAACCCTAAGAGTTACCAGCATCTAGTTCATGAAACGAAACGGAATTAAATGAAATGGTCTTGATTGTTAACAAATTCTCCAGTTCAGCACCATAAGGATACACAGAGGACAGTATGTAGAATATGAAGTCCATGTTAGTGTGTCGAGTGTTAAACAAAGGAGGTAACAGTTCGCAAACAGCAGGTAAAAGAAAGGAATTTATTAGTTATTTTTAATAGAAATACGGAGGGAAAATAATAACTCTATGCTAACGAATCGAATGGTGCATAAGTTGCTTGTACCGATCAGACCCCTGCATTGGGGTATGTATCTCGTACCAATCAGATCACAGCATTCCCTCAAGGACTACTTCGAAAGGACACAATTTCAAATCTTAGTAATGACCTATTTTACTCTCTATGTTTTAGCATGATAATAGACTGACCGGTGCATAACTCAGGGAAATTTCTCACATATTCGAAACTTGATTTGAAATTCTCTTGCCACACAAAAGATGTATGTCACTCGTAAATCACGACTCCGAAGTGCCATTTTAAACGTCCAGTAATTTGGTAGATTATGACCAGAGGCTGTCGAGAAAACAAAAAGATCTTTTAGTATAACCATTTTCTTTAAAAAAAAGAGTTCCCTCTTTCCCACTTGGCTGGAAAGTTCTCCGTTTAATTTAAACTCCGGCGAGATTGGAAAGCTGGTCATCCCGATTTTCACAAATCACAGAAAGTATTAATTACAGTTGAGTAAGTAACAGCTTTGAAAGATAAAAACAATTGCTGAAAATCCTATCCTTTTTCCTACAATCATCATTCTGAATTGATCATTTGAAAAGCATATGTTTTTTCTCTTTTCATCCGGAACGTCACGTTTTTCCAAGTAGAAAGCGGCATTCGAAAAGCGAATTACCGAAGCACAGCTTTTGTCTTTCCTTTTCCGCTTTTAAAAAAAGGGAGGTTTTAATTACTCCAGAATACAGTTCATCGATATTGTGGTTTTTGGCGATCGATTAGTCAAATTCAAGATCAACAAGATTTTAAAACATGGCTTATAAGCACTGAAATGTAATACAGCTTGTCGCCCTCGAAAGTATATTTATTCGAGCGCCTCGTATGCGTAGGATTTGTTTAAACCTTGGTTAAGATATCATGCACGCATTCCTAATTTCAATCAATTTTTCAGCCACCAGCAAAATTTTCTGGTCTTAGATCTTTACTGACAGTTAAATACACGCTATTTCTTAGCAGAGTGTTAAAATTTTTACCAATTCTTAGCTTTCATTTGAGCCCATGCAGGAATTTGAACTGTACATACAAAAGCCTTACCCAAAAGTTGAAGAGTGGAAAGAAGAAGTGAAAGCAGGGGTGATTTAGTGATGGTGCAAGGAGTGAATTTTGGGGTCATAACAACGACTCGGAAATTTGCTTTCAGCCATTTTCCAAAACGAGCTAATGTAACTTTTGTTTAAGGCTGCTACGAATGACGGGAATGTTCACGGACGGACTCACGGGCATGATAACAAGGAGTCTACGTTGCCTTGGGCACCGTAGATTCAGAATAATAATTATAAATACATAAATAAAACAGACAAACAAAAAAAAAACTCAACATTGAGTATTTGCTATCAAAGATATTTCCTACTTAAGTTAGTTATTTGTGCTTTTTTTTCTTTCATACATGTTTGATGGTATCATCAGAGCAGATCAAAGATCACTATAATCAATATTAACTTTGAGAGGAAAGTCATATCTTTACTATGATAACTATTTGACGTTTGACTCCTCAATTTGGATTCGAAAAGTGATTTTTGGTAAAATATGAATAAAATCTTGATATGCTTACTGGAACCAAAATGATAAACAATGGCGGTTACCGAGCTGGATTTTTTTTATTTTGCAGACACATAGAGCCAAGATACAAATCTATTTCCCGGCATCGTTTTGCTTTCCTATTAGGGAGGACCAATAAATTGCCAAAGCGGCAGAGTAGTCGGTGAGCAGTTTTTATTTTTGCTCTATTTCAATTGCAAATTTTCAATTCTCCAATTCTCTCACTGAGAATAACAGTCGTTTCGCTTACGGGTCGTTTCGCCTACTGTCTGCTCGCCTACGTCTACAGTCGATTTGCCTACGTCCAACATGTCAGTTCGCTTACGTCTTAAATCTTAAATCTTTTATCTTGATTCTCAGTTTTTCTGCGAGGTTCAACAAGGACTTTTCAACAATTCAATTTTAAAGCTTTGACATATGAATTGTAGGCGAACTGACATATTGGACGTAAGCGAACCGACTCATGACGTAAGCGAACCGACTCATGACGTAAGCGAACAGACGATAGGCGAAAGGACCGGTTACCCCCTCTGATGTTCTTATACAAGTTCTTTTTCTTCCGATAAAAGTCCAAAACAGTATTGTAAGTAATATTATAAATTTGATCTCAAGTCTTATATCTTAATGTTTATTTAACGATGCTATATTTAACTATACCAGGTCTAATTCTAACTAAGACTTATTCTTATCAGAGGCCAATGGTCTCTATTTACTCATGCAACATACCCAATGCATATCTTTTCTCTTTTCACGAATCATTCGATCTAATCCTGGAAATTTTTAAATGAAGTCAATGGTTTTCATCACTTCTTGATGGCAATTATTCAGTAATTACGGACTGAAACACGTTGTTTTAAACATATAAGTCGATATCAGGCTTTCTCGTTGTTTCAACAGAACCAAAGTAGATAAGACTGCCATGAACTTCAATGAATAAGTCTTAAACTTAAAATAAGAACAAAGTTGTTTTCTCGTCTTGTCACGAGCGTTGGATAAAGAAAAAATTCTGAGTCCCCTTCGGATTCTGTCCCCCGATGCTCTGCCACTGAGCTACAGAGATGCTCATCTTGGAGTCTCTGTGGCTCGATGGTTCTATTCCTCACGGGAACTCAGAATTTTTTCTTTGTCCCGCGCTCGTAGCAAGACGAGTTTTATCGGCTTTACACAAGAAAGTACACTCAGAAACAAATGATCTCTCAACTTTTTGTTCATGAAATTTGAGAATGGTCGATATCTCTAAAGTTAGACATTGCAAGCATTTATATAACTTAAGCTTGGCAAATGAATATCAAGGATAAAAACAATGAGGTTTTGTTGTTGTAAGGACGTCATTCCCAACTTGGAAATTATATTCGTTAGTAGTCAGAAATAGATCACTAGATATATTACACCAATATCATGTTAACACTATATTTAAAGTCGAGACCGACTGAACAGTGAGATATGGTATCATTCTTTTAACTAGGAACCTTACCTGAGTGAACTTTACAAGAAAAACTTATTGCCAAGGCTTTAATGAAGGAATTTTGCAGTTTTAGTCTGCAATACAGTGTCTTTCGAAATAGAATTAGGTGCTTCCTATTCTTGTCTTTCTCTGGTGTAAATACCTGCAGTGTGGGTCTTTAACCGAATTTGCGTCACACACTCACCTCAATATTTATATCGGAAAAACTATGTACTGCTATTTACCATTAGTGTTTTTTTTGCACTGTAAGTTTTCGTTAAATGTTTCTGCTATAAAAAAGAGTGGATCTTTTAGGTAAATCATGACGCATTAAGGGTGATCGAGAATTACCACATCCGACCGCCTCTCACCAAAATTAATTCAAGAGACGCACAAGTGAATATGGGCTCCAGGTCGAGAGGAAGCAATGCTCTTTACTGAGTGACGCTGAAGTAATATAGGTTGTTTTTCAAAGCTAGAAAATCGCTCCACAATGCACATACGAGCATTAATCCCTGCTCATAAGGCTGTCATTAAGGGTGAAGCTTACATGAGCAGGTGCTTGGTTCTCAAGGTTGGTTTTTGTATGCTCTGACAATTCACACAGACAACCGATTGGCAGCCAATATACGCTAGACATTGAACATCTTAAATGTACTCTAGTGCTTTTTCCTTTTGGGAAAATTATCAGACTTTGTCTAAATCAATGAAAAGTGTTAGAGAAAATGTCATCAAAACAGTAGACGTAACTTCAGTTTTATTACGACCAAGTGTTTGTGAATGTATCACATCGCGTGAGTTGTTCATTTGGGGTGGCAAGCGAGGATACAATCTTACGCTTTCGAATTTATATATTTGAGCTCTGATCAATATTTGGCGATAACACTTCTCTTTGCAGTTTGAAATTTCGTTTTTACAAATACTGCATGGGTCGAGCTGGCGAGAAAAAGGCATAGCGAAGTAAAGGAATATACTGACACAGGAAAAGGTAACTATTAGATTTTAATATTGATTGGAGCCCGTAATATGGGGCAGTTTTGGATTTTTTGTGTCGAACGGGAGCAAAACCAGTAGTTTTGCTGTTTCTATTTGTTGTACGCAGTCTAATTACTCCTGTAGTACTGTAAAAGCTTTGCTCATTGACCAAGTTATAAGATGTAAGGCAATGCAGACAGAATGATGCAGTTGATTTCAGATGTTTTGGAAAAACATTTAAGAAAATGCAATACCCGAATGGAAATAAAATTAGAACATATCAGTCAAGAGTTTGAGTTATTGACAGTGAAATTGCATGATTTGTTAAGTGTATGTCATCTGAAGATAATGGCAAGAAAATAAACGTTTCTCGATAAAAAGTTATTGAGTTTGGCTGGCAGTAAAATAGATCTCAAAACTGAGTGCTTTTAGCCTTTTTTTTTGCTAAAAAACCTACAAAATTCAACAAACAATACGCGTCACTTTGACTCTAGTTAGTATTAAAGCAAACCAACACCATCGATATGAAACGAGTTGGTTTCTTCTTGTGTTTTCCTTTCTCTTGAGATATTTGAAGGGAAAGTCGAGGGAATAATTGTATGTTGGCTTATTTTTGCCCGAAGTAAGGCCATTTAAACTACAGTATACAAAATAAGTTGAAGCTGCCTCTTGTTTGTTTGTAGGTAAAAATCTACTTGTGACTCATGGCGGAAACTGGGATTGTCATGACAATCCTCTTCATACTTGTCTCGGTAGATATCGTGGGGAATTCTCTCGTTTGTGCGATAATATGGAAAAATAGAAATCTCAGGTATGTTAGAGAGTTGCAAGCAGTAGAACCTCTCCTTTAAGGTATCTCTAGTTAATGGACACCTCTCCTCTGTGCTTCGTACGGTCTGAATCAGACCGATTATTCTTAAAGCTGCAAAAAGAGTAGGCAAGTATAATATAAAGCGGAAGCGCATAAGAGTTTATCTAAAACAGAATGTGAAAGATAACCTATTTTTTCAGCTTGGTAATGGAATAGTGAAAGATATTTTGTCGTCTTCTCACGAGCTGGGGAAAAGGAGTATATCAGATGATCTGAGTCTGTCAGAGTATTCCAACCTCTGTCGCCCGGCGGTTGAGCACTAACGCGCTAAAAGACTGAGGTTCTATACCATGCGAGGACTATAATAATTAAACTAGCAGGAAGCCAACTTAATGAAACGAACTCGATACCTTTTTGTCATTACTAGTTATTATTTCTTTGCGTATTTTCATCACCATAGGACCCCCATTCATATTCTACTTTTTAACCTTGCTGTGGCGGATGGTCTCTTTGCGTTGTTGATTGCACCAAAACTCATTGTGAGCCTCAATTCAAAGCACCCCGAGGGGACGGGTGGTTCAGTTTTGTGCCTGTTGATAACTGGTGGAGCCTTCGCGTGGGTTGCAGCACTGTGTGCCATTTATACTCTGGTTGCGATTGCCGTCGAAAGATACTATGCAGTCACTGATCCGTATGGCAAGAAATGGAATCTCACTAAGAGAAAACTGAAGGTTCGTTCTGATTCAGTTTTTCTGCATTTTAAGTTACGATGGAAACATTAAACAACGCTCTCACAACTAAACTTCGAGCTCTAACATAGGCGAGTAAGCAAATTTTTTGGCATTGGCGTCAGTGAAGTCTCAAATATTTTTTAAAAACTTACTGTGTGTGGTCTAATGAGAGCAATGATCAGTGCGAAGATCGTACTGTTGGACTTCTATCAGCCCAAGGTAGGTGTCCAGAGTCTTGACAGGAAAAACCGAGAAAGATCACCATACACTACAAGGCTAAGTCGATTGTAACTTCTAAACCCAAAAATTCCCTGGAAACTAGATCACTTTCATGAGCACAACGGGTAGAAATAACCTTAAGCGAAGTAGACTTCACTAAATGTGATTGCCGCCAACGTTTCATAACCTGTGGATTTTTTTTTTTTAACTTGCATCATGCACCCCTTCTTTGTACTCACCGTAATTAGATAGTATACATCGAAAGCCGTATAAACAAGGGCACATTTCGGAATTAACAACAAGTCCATGGGTGCAGGCCCAGAAACATACAGAATATACGGGCAGCTCGTGCAGTTAGTAATGGTAAAAGGACTGAGAGGAGTCCAATTCGGTCTGTAATCATACGAGTGATTAACGAAATCGGACAACCGCGAGGTGGGACTCCGATTACAGACAGAATTGGACGAAACTAAGTCCTGTTACCGATAAATCAAGACTATGAAAAAATTTGACATAAGACAACCGTCGTTTATACGTTTACATAAAAAAAACAACAACAACAGTAAATTCGGCGAAATGCGCCGCAACAGTACGCGCATGTGCACAGAACACGTGCTGTCAATTACAAAGGCATGACGTGTACACTGTCCAATTACAAGTATGAAGTGTTCATTGTCCTATTAGCGCTCAAAACAGGTTGATGATATAACATGTTTTGATTATTATTATCATTGTCATTGACACTGTCACTGTTAGTGTCCCTGACATTATCATAATCACTGATCTTCATTGTTATTATTATTATTATTGATATAATAATTATCATTTATACTATTGATTTTTATTTGAACTCCCAAATTTCGACATTTCATTGCAGGTAATGATAATAGCTTTCTGGATCTTAGCCGCAATAGCATGCATCCCCAACACCATGTACATGAGGGTCAATAATGGCCACTGCTATGAAAAATTTCCTAAAGAATGGGTTATCAAGGCTTATACTCTATGGAACACCACCCAAGTATTTGTTGCCTTGTTACTGATGGTCACGTTATACTCCAGAGTCGTGCGCACGTTATGGTTTAAATCAAATATTGTTGCCCACCCTGTGACATCTCAGCAAAAAGTAAGTACCCTTACAAAGTCGTGCGCTATTTGCATAAATAATACAATCCCATTTTCAATTGTATCTCGTTTTTTTTCTTTTGCTTCTGTTTTTTTTTTTTAGCTTCCTTTTTTTTCCAATTTGAAATCTTCAAGTTTCACTTGCGACAAACTGTTTCGTAGCTAGTATGACGCAAGTATATGACGCTAGTATGATATAATTCGAAGTTCGTATGGGGTTGAGAATGGCTCTACAAAAGGGAGAAAGACAATAGCTAACATCTTGTACTAGACCGAGACTTTTTAGCGTGATACTCAAACAGTTTGCTAAGTAAATTTGAAAGCAATTTGGTAATTTTCTAGAACGATTTTAAACACCGCGTGATACCTGCCCACGAAAACTTTTTTGCAAGTATTTTACAAGTTTATAAACTCAAAAGGGTATTTTTTTTTTTTGCGTTTGTTGTCGTTGACGCTGTTTCTTCCTTTTTCGCTTTGCCTTTTGTTTATATGTTGTCTTTTTTATATTAATTTGGCATTTATTCGTTTCTGTTTGTTGTTGTTGTTTTTTTTTTTGGCCAAGAGTAGCGGCAAGATTGTTAGATATTACCTTATTCATTCAAGTTTGTTCTGTTTACACGATTTAAGATAGACCAAATGAACACCCAGTTTTTCTTAACCAAACATTTTTGGCCAAAAGATTACCTCGACGAATTTTGCGTTGACAAAAAGTGAAAAAAGAGGTTCGTCGATTTTATTTTCTTCGTGTTGACTTTCTCTTAACAGGCGTGTGCCCAACTTTCCTAGCACGTATTTCCATTGAATTTACCGCAAACCGCCTCATATCATAATAATTTTTGTCAAAAAAAGTAAAAGAGGATTCTAGCAATCTTTAAAATCCTGTACTCGGGCAGTTTATCCTCGTTCTCTTCAACTAACCTCAGTTGGCGCTTTGACGATAGCGTCCGACGATGGTGAAGGAAAAGTAGAACAACTGCTCTGAATTATTTTGTTAAAAGCAGATAAAACAAAATATCACGGTATTTTAACATTTAGAAAGTTTTTGTCTCGATAGTTTTCTTTTAAGTGTTTAGAAAATTTCCATTTTTAAAACACTTCTCAATCCTCAGGGTGTAATGAGAGTCCGCAAGCGAGTCACCTTAATGGCTGTGGTTGTCAGTATCATATTTGGAATCTGCTGGGGCACAATCCAGATTCTTTACACCTTGCATGCTTTCGAGGTTTTTCGGTTGGATAAAGTCGTTATCGCAATTTCCAACATTCTGGTATTGTTTAATTCTACTATCAATCCCTTTGTGTATGCTCTGCTCAGCGAAAACTTCAGACAGAAATTAAAAGGAATGGTCCGATTCCCAAGGGCTACTGTTGGTGCCACAACGGAGCTTCATAACATTGAAGTCCACATTGCAAGAGATAAATCCAACACCCCTGATGTTTCGATCAATACAACAACATCCGTGAGCCAGGAGTAAAAAAAAAAAAGAACTTTTTTCAAGCAATCATTTAATTAAATAACACGTCATAAATAGACTTGAAAGACTGGCACTTAGCGTAGAAATTGTTGTGTTTTTTTGCGGGAAGCTGTACAGATATAGTTCAATTTAGGAATATATATGACAAGATAAAATAATTGGACTAATGTTTTCTCGAAAATAAAAGGGAATGTCGTGCAATAACAGATGTGTTACCCCATTAAAGGATGTGTACAAGTTGAACAATACATATATATCAAAATAATTGTGCTTCCAAACATCTTGCATTGAATATGTCATTTTGGCTGTTACAAACGCGTTGCAATTAGGCTTACAGACAGTATTTAAGATGCCAGTCGAGCCGTAGAATTGTGGGAAATAGCATGCTTTATCAGAGTTGAACAGGATGCAGAAACCTGACGAGATTGCGCTCAATCTTGTACTCGTCAATGCATTTGAGAAACAGTTATAAGGTTTTGGGATTCTGGTCGTCTGGTCGAAAAGTGGCCATATTTATTCTTAGCAGGAATTTGATAGTTAATCAGACCACTCCAAAACTTGATCCTTCAATCTTGATGCGAACAAAAAAAACAAAAAGTTGACCTCTTCTCACAAGCGAGTGGAATTACCCTCTTACTTGCCAGGATAACCCTCCCTTCATGAAAACCACCACTTGAAAAGATCAGATTTGTTATTTTACATTATCTCCATCTCCCCGATTAGTTAACCAAAAACCTCACGTTAAAGCGTACTTATGATGAACGTAAGCAAGTTAAAATGAGCCTTTTGGGTCAGCGTATACGTAGAAGATAGCTTAAACGATAACGGTAAGCCAATTATATCAGGAATGTTTGATAAAGGTATCCTAAGCTCTCCTTATTACTGGGCGACATCTACGAGCTCTAGTCAACTGGGGAGTCTACAAAAGAATTATCCATCCTTCTAATTAACGTCATCGACGTAGGAATAAACAAAAGGTTTATAAATCTAAGGTAAGGGAGTTTATATATTGCTTTCTTAACATCTCAAATCTTTAAACCTGAAACGGTGGTATGTGTTCATTCCTTGTCATATACGTGATATTCGTGCGGCCTTCAAAGCGTTCGTGAACAGCAGCTCGTAAGAACACTAGTTTTTATCGACTTGTTAGCCCAGAGGACAGGCACAACGATGAATGTTGCTGGGAGTGGTGCAAAAGAATTGAACAACCAATCTACTGGTCTTCACCGTCATCTCTTACAGATCGCGAATTTCGCGGTAGTGGTTGAAAAGTAAATCTCACGCTTAAGATAGTGGCTTTTACTTTTAAGCTTAATAACTTATAACCTGGCAGTCACGGCCATCCTCCAAGACATCTAGTGGCTGTTACTTGTCTGTTGTCGCAGGTTTTTTTTTCCTTTTTTTTCTCTCCTTTTCCTTCAATGATTTCGTGCTTAAGATAACCTGAACTTTTCTTTAGTAAAAGAAAATCATGAAAACGCAGTATACATTTCGTATGGCAGAATTTACCCTGTTAAATATGCGCTTACACGTTCTTCGTTTGCCAACACTAAGCGCGTGACTCTTTAACCGAACGAGGCAAAAAAATAAGAAACGAAAACCCGTAAACTATATAATTTGAAGTCATAGCGATACGGTAACTCATCTCTCCAACACGATCTTCAATAACTTATGTCGTATATCTAATGGGGTCATCAGGGCCATCTCGGTTATTAGAATAGTCAATTGTCTGTTGTCGCATTACTTTTTTTCTGTAGCGCAATGTCTATTTGGCCATTAAGCCACTTCACTTCTTGAACAGAGCTTTCGTTGCTAGACGTAAACAGGATGTTGTTACGAATCAACGCCAAAAAAAAGTTCCCTTTGTGTCACTTCAGCCGTCTTCTAAAACAGAGCTGACCTATTCGCAAGATTCTGCTTGATTAGTTGCTGTGATTATCGTGACGGGAGGTGATCGGTTGGAATGGTCGGTAGAAATAAAAAAAAAAATTAATGTGCAGCAGTTAAGGTAAGGATCTTCCTGATCGAGCAATCTCTCTTTGTGAAATGACGTTGTGTTGCGATATATTGAATTAAGGGGATGTTTCACTAGGTAACTAGTAGGTCAGTCGATGGGATGTTAGTGCTGTTGTCAACAGTCAGTTACAAAAAAAAAAAAAAAAAAAGCTATTACAAAGAAAACTTTCGATTTTCTTATCCGTTGCTCTTTTTCCGTTTTTTCGATAAAAGTAGGGCCAGCCTTCAGGCCTTTAAAGACTCATAGTATGCGTCCTTAAAAGGAAAAAGGTAATCACAATGCTGAGCTCCAGCGAATGGAGCAAGTTGCCAAATGTAATAGGAAAGGTAATCATTCGGGACATTCAGAATTACCATATATGGCTTGGATTTTATCCATAAGAAACCGTAAATTTAACCAGCTGTTCCTCAATGTAAGATGAAATGCAAACTTTTTTCAGTGGTATATATCCCATGCGTGTCATAAAATGTTAATTAATGAAGCAGACTTTTTGGAATTGCCAAAATGCAACTTATAGGCGACAACTAACAGCGGACAGATATCTGCGCCCCGCAAACTTCTTCGTCACAATAAGTTATTGTTTCCAAAACACTTCTACTAATTTAAACGCTGTGATCAACATTAAAATTCAAAGGAGTGCGTGTCAGCGAAAATTCATGCGGGGACAATTTTTTTGTCGCAGGGACAACGACTGTAACGTAAATTTAAATGTTCCTACCGTGAGCCTGGCTGAACCAAATAACTTCAACACGTTTCGTCGCAGCTACTTGTAGAGTTCAAGCTGTGCTTTGAGAGATAAAATTCACTAAAAAAGCCAGCTGATCGATTAAGTAAACATGTCAAAGTTCATATTGAAATTTCCTACATTGCTGCCTCGAGAGGGAATTCGAAACTTTTCAACAATAGTTACTTTTTCAAAATAGCAGCTGTTTCTTCGCCAAAAGGACTTGAATTTCCATGCATTCAGTCGCTCTGTTATCACTTGTAAAGAAAACAATGCTTTCAATCAACGACAGCCAACGAAACCATTTTGCGTATTCGTGTCGACAATGACGTCTGAAAGTATGGCTTAGGGGGCCTAAAGCAACGTGTTTTAAGATGATTCAAATGACGTGATCAAAGTTGTTAAGAAGGAGTTAAACTCGAAAAAATGATCTCAAGATAAGTGTTTTACTTTTCAATCGAAATCTTAGTTTCTGAACCAATACCATGTACCCACTGCAAAAGATTAAAAAATTCCATGGAGGTTCCCGCTGCGCAATATTTGTGATATCTACCGACTGTCAGATTGTAAGGTTGTTACAGCAAGATTCAGGTGGCAGGATTCAGAGTTTATCACCGTAACTTCCTCTCCCTTCGCCTTTAAAGCTCAACTGTGACCAGGTGAAACTTTAGGTTGCATGGCGTAAGTAAAAAACCTTGAAATCTTGTTCACCTTTAGGAGCCTGGTTGTGATTGATAATCTTATATTTAATTTTGAATTTATTGTTGACGCATGCAATGATTGATCATGATAGTGAACCACAAACAGAGATGGGTGTCTTTCTTTCTAAGGCCTGTCGTTCTGTTTGGAACTCTGTGTTTGATCGGCTAATCGACTTGATTTCGATTTCGAAAGATTAAAAACTAAATAACTCCATTATTTATTTCCACGTTTTGGCACAGTTAGCCCAAGCTTGTTATGACGCAAAGGGATTTGTGGAAGAGAACCAACCCGTTGTATTAAAAGACCACAACAATGTCCGAGATTAGCCTTAAGTAAAGTGACTGACGTCGCTGCAGTTTTAAGTTCCTGTATAGGATTTACAGGAAAAATAGGAGCTCCGAACTAACCCCGAGACTCGCTGTTAATCGTCCCAAAAACCATAACAGAAAGAGGAAAAAAACGATAGGTATGAAGTCAGGTTATTATGTTATTGTATAACATACATTTTGGGTTTTTCCGATTAAAAACATGCAAACGTTTTTCACGTATCGTCTCCACATGCACGTGTTACTTTGTGTTTCGTTGAGCTTTCTGCTAGAATCGAGTTACGTAACTAAGGAATTGGAATTGATTGGAATCAGCTTGGGCTACCTGTGCCAAAACGTGTAAATAAATAACGGAGTTGTGACGGACTTTTAAGCGAAATCAAGTTGATTAACAGATCAAAGACAGAGTTCCAAACAGAACGACAGGCCCTAGAAAGAAAGACACCCATCTCTGTTTGTGGTTCACCAAAATGATAAGTCAATGCATGCGTCAACAATAAATTCAAAATTAAATATAATATTACCAATCACAACCAGGCTCCTAAAGGTGAACAAGATTTCAAGGTTTTTACTTACGCGATGCAACCTAAAATTTCACCTGGTCACAGTTGAGCTTTAAAGGCGAAGGGAGAGGAAGTTACGGTGATAAACTCTGAATCCTGCTACCTGAATCTTGCTGTAACAACCTTACAATCTGACAGTCGGTGGATATCATAAATATTGCGCAGCGGGAACCTCCATGGAATTTTTTAATCTTTTGCCGTGGGTACATGGTATTGGTTCAGGAACTAAGATTTCGATTGAAAAGTAAAACACTTATCTTAAGATCATTTTTTCGAGTTTAACTCCTTCTTAACAACTTTGAACATGTCATTTGAATCATCTTAAAACACCTTGCTTTAGGCCCCCTAAGCCATACTTTCAGACGTCATTGTCGACACGAATACGCAAAATGGTTTCGTTGGCTGTCGTTAATTGAAAGCATTGTTTTCTTTACAAGTGATAACAGAGCGACTGAATGCATGGAAATTCAAGTTCTTTTGGCGAAGAAACAGCTGCTATTTTGAAAAAGTAACTATTGTTAAAAAGTTTCTAATTCCTCCTCGAGGCAGCAATTTAGGAAATTTCAGTATGAACTTTGACATGTTTACTTAACCGATCAGCTGGCTTTTTTAGTGAAATTTTAAATCTCTCAAAGCACAGCTTGAACTCTACAAGTAACTGCGACGAACGTGTTGAAGTTATTTGGTTCAGCCAGGCTCACGGTAGGAGCATTTGAATTTACGTTACAGTCGTTGTGCCTGCGACAAAAAAATTGTCCCCGCGTGAATTTTCGCTAACACACACTCCTTTGAATTTTAATGTTGATCACAGCGTTTAAATT